GGACATAAACATTTAGTTTGTAAACAAAACATTTAACATGTAGCTAAGTATTTAGCTTGCAAGTTAAATATTTTGTAAATTAAACATTTAGCTTGGACATAAACATTTAGTTCGTAAACAAAACATTTAACATGTAGTTAAATATTTAGCTTGCAAGTTAAATATTTTGTAAATTAAACATTTAGCTTGGGCATAAACATTTAGTTTGTAAACAAAACATTTAACATGTAGCTAAATATTTAGCTTGCTAACTAAATATTTAACTTGCATGTTAAGTATTTAGTTAGTAAACTAAATATTTAGCTTGTGAATTTAATATTTAGTTTGGAACTATGACATTTGTAAATGTAAGAATAACATGGTGAAAATCTAACTTTGAAAAAAAAATAAAACTTTTTCCCAAAATATTGCTGTTAATTTTTGACTGTGCAACTTTACAAACCCGTGCACTTCAACCCAAGGGCAGCAGGTTTAAATGAACTGTTTAGCCTCATATAAATTGTGCAAACTTGAAACATAAACAGATTTAGTACGATTAAAGTACACCAAAAGAACAAACAGAAGTTTGAATGGTAATATATATGACAGCATTTTTCCCCCAAAGCAGTCTGAACCTTTGTTTATTTGTTTGTTTATTTATTCTTCTCCGAGGTGGGCAACACTTTTTATCCAAAGGGCCACATGGAGAATAGGAAAAAATATTTTCTTTATGACAATCTAGAAGACCTGTTTCTAATTGTAGCATGGTTAGCATGCTTTATACAACAAATCTTCCCAAAATCCTTTAGGAATATAAGAAATATTCTGAAAACTGGCTCTTGTGACAATATATTACACACGTTAGCTTAACATGTTATACATGTTAGCGAAAATATGCAAAACAAACTTGTATGTTTTACGTAAGATGTTTAATTTAAATTTTCTTAAGTCATTGATAAATTGCTGCTTAAAAAAAAAAAAATCTTTATTTAAAAAGTTGTGTTTTTAATTAAAAAAAAACAACAACTAAGAATACTGGGGGCCTGATGGAGATTGTCCAAGGGCCATTTTTGGGCCTTAAGTTGCCGCCCACGTCTGATTAAGATGGTAATGTTTGGGAAATCCCTTGTTGGTACAAATACGCAGTTTTATTCACATCAGATGTTCAATATTTATTTATCATGTCTCTCGTAAACGAGTCCTCGAGGCTCAATGGGATTTACGTGTCTAAATAAAGGTTGAATGAAAAAAACAACAGGTTGTTTCTTTACAACATCGCTGTGAGCAAAGACTAAAAACAGGAAATGTCCAAATCTATATTTAAATGACAATCAGGAAGTTTGGACAACTATTGCTTAAGACTGCTTAAATATATATTTTAAAAAAAATGTGTTTTTTAGTAACAAAATGTAAAGAAACGAGAAGCTGGTCAAGTTTTTTGTGCAGGAAGAAAATAATTCTCACCCAGTGTGACCATTTCATAGATCACGATGCCAAAGGACCATCTGCCAGTAAAATAAATGTGAGTAACTCTTTTGATCTTTTCAGTCTGATGATGTTTTTCTACGAAGGATCTCACATGTCGCTGCTCTGACTAACGGATCTCCCGGCCAGAACTTCAGGTGCCTGCCATTTCTTCAGCTCCTCCACTGCTCCCCTCGAACCGGACTGAGATCTGCGAAACGCCGAGCCCAGTCCCCACAGCTTGGCTGTCAGGTCGGCACCGACCAGAACGCTGCGCGCCGCCACGTTGCCATGGATACAGCTCTGACTGTGCAGGTAATCCTAGAAGGTGAAGAAGAGAATGATCCATAAAATAACTTTGTTTACCGTTTGAAGTATCAACTCAAAGTTTCAAGAACTACTAAAGTTCATAAACAAGGCTTTTGTTGTTTTTTTTACATTAAGCAGATAATCAATATTGTTCTCATTTACAACAAAATAAAAAAAAGAAAAACAACAGTTTTTGGTAGCAACTGAGCCAAACGTAAAAAATGAACTTCCCTCAGTAGTTCCAACAAACCGTATTTACAGGAAGCCGTGAACTAACCAGAGCAGAGGCCACTTGTCCTGCCATGGTGAAAATCCTCTTCTCTGTCATATCATAACTTGAATTATCCTTCGGTGAAGAAGAAGAACAAAGACAGAAATCATGTGACTAACTTGGGTCTTTTGTAATGCTTGAGTCAGTTTGCTTTCAGGGCATGAAAACCATGATTCAAATGTAAAGAGGTGATGAATTAAGGTCATAAATAATAGTGGTCTTCATTTTTTCTGCATGGTTTTGTCTTTTCTGTGACATTTAGACAGGGAGCTATAAGCTTCCCTAACTGAAGAAAGCTGAAAAAAGCACCTTGTTCTGCAGTTTGAGCTATCCGTGTGATAAGCACCAGATTTGTGTCTACCTGTCTGCATTCCCAGAGGAAGCCCAGCAGGTCTCTGTGCTTCAGCTCCTCCACCACCAGAGCTAAAGGTGGCTGCACCGAAACCACTCCGAGCACTGCGGGGATGGAGGGGTGAGGGCCCAGTCTGCTCAGGAAGGAAGCAAAGTCCAAGAAGTGCTGCTTCTCACTGCTGCTTGCTGTTTCTGGGGAATAAGAAAGATAAAATAATGTTTTCAATTTAGCAGCAACTACCCTCTTCAGGATTACAGTAGTCCCTCGCTGCTTCGCGGTTCGACTTTCGCGGACTCGCTCTGTGGATGCGCAGTTCATGATATAAATTGTACAGACTTTAGTATTACTCGCATGATTGGGACGGTACTCGATACTGTACAGTAAAAAGTTAACGGAAAATAAAATACTTTGAACAGGTGCTGCCATTTCGTAGTTTTCTCTCAATAGGCCTCCACTGAATCCCCGCTCATAATGACTACATTTCCCAGAAAGCAACAGGGCCCCGTCCAGAAGCCCCGTTTCCTTCTGCTGAAATTCTAAAGGGAAAGTTTTGATCTAATCAGAAAACGTTTGGCGCTTATTACAGTGACTTCGGCACCCAGCGGATGCAGAGAGCCGCACGGAACCCACCAAACCGGATCAGAACCACAGCAGAACAAGACCTCCAGACCCATCGGTGAATCTTGACAGCTGGTAGCCCGCCCAGAAGATCCGGCGGTCCATCCAGAGCCCACTGGCACGTTTTTCATCTCTTTCAACCGGCCGACGAGGACCTCCGAGCATGGACGTGCTGGTAAGTAAAATTTAGAAGCTACTGTACATATAAGTAGGCCTGTCTCAATAAACGATAAATCAATTAATCGCATGATAAATGAAAATTATCAACCTCGTTTTAATTTATCAGCTTTATAGTTTCTTCGTGTCTCTCTTTTTCTACTGAAGACACTGAATGACAAAAGGCTCAATTCTTCACTGACCCCTCCCTTTCTCTTTAAAATCCATTTTAATTATCTGAAATCATGTTTTTTTCATCGTTAAAAGCAGCTAAGATGAGAAGATAAGCTACGAGCTAAGCTAACCTAACAGACCAACCTGAGAGGAAAAAACCTCCGTCTTGTCGAAGCTCCACAATTCACGGTTGAAACCCGTGCCTTCTGTGTAAAAAGTTTTTCTCTGCAAAAAGAAGCTGAGAACTTGTTTACTGATTTTTTAAATTTTTATTAAAAGCTCTGTGTGAAAAATGCTATGCTAAAGAGCTCAAACCACACAGAGTGTCCGCCATTTTGAGAACCGAAAAAAGGAAAGGGAGACAGCCCACGTCACGTCAAGGGGCCTCCCTCCCATTTTTCTTAGAGACACGTTGCTCGCTGCCTCACTATCCATCCCTCTGTTCAAACAGTCTTATACTGCTATCCGGTGGTCAAAAAATTGTACTACACTGAAAACAAATTACCCTACATTTCTTCTTAAATTTTACAATTACCAATTATTGTCAAATTTCAAACAATATTATCGTTTATCGCAATAATTTCTGAGACAATTAATCACCCAGTAAAATTTGTTATCAATACAGGCTTACATATAAGTATGTTAAAATTATAAGTTTAAGTGTTTAGGGTTATGGCTTCATTGCTGCAGGGTAGGTCTGCAGAACCAGAACCGAGTCAGACCAGAACGAGAGCCGCTCCTGTTCTGCAGAGCCCGGTAAGTAAAGTTTAGTAGCTACATGTACAGTACTGTACGTATGTTATTAAAATAATATAGGTGTAAGAGTTTTGAACATTGCAAGGGTGTGGGAAAAGTGTCTAAAGCCTTAATATATATATAAATACTAAAATAAATATAACATTACTACTTTGCTGAAACAAGGCACTACTGTAATCTGTTTTAAATCCACTGGATGATTAGAGTTGAGATTTTAGATCTGAAACTGGGAAACTTCCTAAAAGCCCTTGGTATATAAAGTACAAACTTCTTGTGCATGTAATCCTCGACCATTGCATGTTTTAATTCTCGAACACGCACTGAGCGAGCAGCTGGATCTCTTTATTTGGGATGTGCCTCAAAGCAGCTTTGTTTACCTTTGTGCACCCGCAGGATGACGTCCCTGTTGTTCATGCGGGCTCTGTAGAGGTTCACTGTGCTGTTGGGTTTGATGGAGAAAGACAATGGCAGAGCAACGACCTGACTGAAGCCCCCCAGGGGCCTCTCTGTGGACGTCTGCGGCGCTGCGGCCTCGGCTGGCCGCCTGGTTTGAACCGTCATTGGCAGCTCTTCGTGTTCCAGCGGGTTAATCCCGGGTGGTGCTTTCAACAGAGGAAGACCAAACGGTCAGAAACGAGCTTCACCGAAAAACGTCACGAAAATTAAAAAGTACATTCGCCTACCATCGATCCCTCGAAGGTGGTGCCTGTTGTGTTTTCTTGTGTTGTGATGGTGTGCCTGTGCGTTCTGGTGGTGCGCATGTGTGTTCTGGTGGTGTGCATGTGTGATGTGGTGGCGGGGGTGTGTGTTTTGGTGGTGGGGGTGTGCGTTGTGGTGATGTGTGTTGTGATGTTGAGGGTGTTTGTTGTGGTGTCTGTGCGTGTTGTGTTGTGCCTGCGTGTGTCTGTTTTTGGAGGCGTGGTAGCGGGGGGGTGCTCGTGTCCTCTCTTCTTTGCAGCAATACAACAGAGAACAAATGATCAGTAGGAAGATGAGGCTGAGCCCGAGGAGCAGCGAAGGGACAACTATGACTTCCAGCTGGTACTCGCGAACAACTGGGAGGGAAACACAGACGAGAGGACGAGCGTTAACGTCTGGTCCAAAGAGAAGCAGTCTCACAACCTCTAGATCCTGATGCAATGTTTGGACACTGCAGAGAGGGAAGCTCAGGACGAGCAGTTTGAGTTAGAGGAGAGAGACTGGACAGTGGAGGGATTAAAGTACGGTGAAAATGAAGCGGCAATCTAAAAAAAAGAAAAAAGTCCTCAATGTCTCAATTGTTTAAAATTTTAGGAATTAAAATACCGTAATTTCCAGACTATTGAGTGCACCTGATTATAAGCAGCACCCACTAAATAAAAAAAAGAAAGAAATTGTACATCTAAAGGTTGCACTTGTGTATAAGCCACAGGTGTCCATGTTGTAACATGAGATATTTACATAGAAAGATTTTTTAAAATTTTTAATTAAATATGTTAAAAAAAAATCTGAACAGTGCCTGAAACATGGCTGGATTAAAAAATAATACAGTAGACTACCAGGAAAAGTCATTGAATGCTTTCTTTTTCTTCTTCCTGTGCTATAAAACCTGTGGGAGTTGTGTTTTTTTTTGTCCCTGGTGTCTAGCTCCATCTGGTGTTGTCTCTGTTCCTGCACTCCCTGGTTTCCCAGTTCATTATTTCCCCTCAAGTGTTACAGCTGCGTGTCCTCACAGGTGCTATGTCTCGTTAGTCTTTGTATATAAGTCAAAGTCGGAGAGATTTATTTGTCATTCACATCTCATGTGGTACATGTGGTGGAACGAGATTATGCGCACAGGGTCCCAGTTACATCCATCTATAAAATGTAAAAGAAAAACAGTAATAATATCTAAGATATGAACTAAGCAAAACATCAGCTAAATATACACTAAGCACTAATGACAAAAAACGTCACCAGAGAACAGCAGCACGAACATGAGTCTGTGTGAGCAGATGAGCATGCATGAACACAGCAACATGAAACAGATCAGCAGCAACATGAAACAGATCAGCAGCAACATGATGTGATTTTTCACAGTGATTATCCTGGTTAGAGATTCATGAGTCTAACAGCCTCAGGGTAGAATCTGTTCCTCAGTCTGGTTGTTCTACACTTAATGCTCCTTCACCTTCTTCCTGAGGGGAGCAGGGTAAAAAGTGTGTGTGCTGGGTGAGTGGGGTCTTTCATGATGCAGGTGGACCTCTTCCTGCATCAAGAGGTGTAAATGTCTGTGATGGTGGGGAGACTGACTCCAACTTATATACTTGTATACTAACTTATATAAGTCTGTGTCTCTGTGTTAGTCCTTGTCCTGGCATTGTCTTCTGTCCACTGTTGATGACTTGTCTGTTCTGCAAGTACCTCCTGATCATTCCATGTTTGATTTGCAGCCTTGTCAGCGCTTTTGTTTTGTTAATAAATTCTTTATTTAATATATTTATCCTGAGTCCTCGCCTGCTTGCCTGCACCACTGGGTTCACCAGCGCCAGCCCGTTGTGACAAACCGCTAAAGATGTCTTCTAATTTGAACCACGGCTTCAGTCCGTCTTTCGTTGTAGCTCTCATCGTCACATTCGTCTCGAGGCAAATTTGCAATTTCTTTTGATTGACGATTCACACTTATTTTGATTGGCTGCAAATACTTTGTTGTGCCACCAGACGGGGAAAACATGGTCTCCCCCCTGACTCCCTGGGGGCACAACTGGGGGGGACCAAGTTAGCTGACCAAGTACCTGCTATGTATTGGGCACAAAAGGGCCATATTATGTATTACTACCAAATATACCAAAGTTCATCCTCAATAATTCAGGTATAAATCCAACACTCCCATGAAAATGGGAGTGTTGTGCTTGTGGGACTCCAGTTTGTTGGTGGCTCCTCAGACTGAAAAAGTCCTTTGGACGAAGGACAAAACATCTCAGCAAAAACAGAAACCGTCCAGATGAGCTGATTGAACATTGTTGGACTACCAAATTAATGTATTTGTTTGTCCCATTTATGCTTTACTGATCATCGTCACGTTTACAGTATCTGGCTGTGATGAAACGCACCAACATGTTACAGTATGCAGACTGGTTCTGAAGAAACCAGAATGAGTCATGTGTTGTCACTCAGAGAATGCAGACTACACCATTTCTTTGTTCTACGAGGAGAGCTGCTGTAATATTTAGATGTTCGTGATCACGCGTCATTACGTCTGTGTTGACAGGATTTTCCTGCTGAGGCAGACGGATGTTTCTAACGCTGATCGTTTTGGTCACCATGAGTACGCAAAAACTAAAAGAGTTGAAAAACGTCATGGATTCTGCTCACTTGAGTTTCTTTCTAGTTACAGATGATTGACACTGAACCCACAACGTGTCTCTGAGCTCACCTGCGTTTATTCTTTAAATTGCTGCTCGTGTGTTAAAATAAGAAAGTGATGAAAGAAAATATCTTCTGGTTCTGGCACATTTTAAGGAGCGGCGTGAACTTTGTGGAATGGTGTGAATCATTTCTCGATATCCTCATCAAATAGTTGGCTTGAATTTATAAGAAAGCAGGTTTTTATTTGCCAACTTGATTTCCAATGTTGTTTTTATGCTCAATTGATAATTTATTATTTCCCCTAACATAACTCTTACCAGGCTAAATATTTGATGTAAATTTATTAAGAAATGACATGAAAAGGCTAATGAGGACTTTTTATAGAGTGTAATCACCTAAGAATGAGGATGGAGAGTTTAAATGTAAAAAGCTGTTGATCGCATCGCAGATTCCCATTTTAAACCTACATCGACAAATAAAACGAGATTCTTATGGCTTTTCTGTTTTTGCATAAAATTAATATTTATATATGGAGTTAATGGTTAGGAATTAATAGTTTGTAGCTTTTTACATAAGCACATTTTTGTAAGCGCATCTAAAATAAATGCTTATAAAGCAGACGATCGAGTTTCCATGCAGGAATCTGAATTCATGAGAGATTTTAAAATTATAATTTTGTTGTGATTCTCTGTAATGAGTTTTATTTGCCACTAATGCTATAAAATACCATTTATTTCTTGGATTATGTGAAATCTTATCTTGTGTTTTGATAATTTCATTCCTCTTTTCATGTTTGGTAAAACTTCCCGTCAGTATCGATGAGCCATGAGGCTTCAGCTGATTCCGTCACATCTCGGTCATCTCATCAGTATGTTGTTGGAAAATGACAGCAGAAGCTGTTTGTACGCTGGAGCTGACGGCTCTGTAATTAAATGCACACGAAATATGAATTTTTATTGTTACGATTAAAGATTTGTTCTGACCCTGTAAGGTTTTGTGCCCTACTCGGTGTTACTGAGTGGTTTCCATGGCAACTTAAAGCAAACGTCCTTTTTGTTTAATTGAGTAGAAATTCAATTCATCACAACTGCGGGACTTTACATTAGATTATTTCAACTGCAGAGGTGAACTGAAACTGCTTCTTTGTATCTTTGTATGTAGTATTTATATATATATATATATATATATATATATATATATATTAATAATAATGTGTATGTATTGTCTTCATTGTATGTTCCCATACTTTGGCGAAATTATCTCTGCTTTTAAGTGATCCACCACCAGGTGGAGCAGTGGGCAGCTATGGAAAGTGCCAGGGAGCAACTGGGGATGAGGTGTCTTGCTCAGAGACACCATGAGATGTGCAATGGCCGGAGATCGAACCCAGGACCTTCGGGTCCCGAGTCAGCTGCCTTGCCCATAAAGATAAAATATTTTTCTCTTGTAATAATAAATGTTTCAATTAAAAAAAAAAAAAGTATTTGGACACTTAGTTCTGATAAACTCTATTTAAAAACCTGATCTCTGCAGTTTCCTGTTGATGTGTAGAGAAACGTGTGCTCATGAGATGCTGAATGAGAAGATGACAAACAAAAAGTGAGATGAGAGGCATGAACACTGGTGGTTTGAGGATAAGAAAAACCCTGACAGATAATATTGATAACGAGGAAGACATGAGGGCTCTTACTACAGATGTTGTCGTTTGGTTGGCACAGGGTAGCGTTCGTGCTGTTGCTTGTCATGCTGGAGACAAAAAGAGAAACACACCTCTGCATCACAATCAGCTAAAAACACATCCGCGCTTACAGTACTCCTAATTAAACACGTTTTGATAGAGTTTCTGCCGTTATATTTTATAAAACGTCAGAAACCTTTCGGACTTAACTTTGTCCGTTCAGCTTTTCATGAATGGATTTGGTTTACTGGTTAATTGTTTTAATCAGGACTTTCAGGCAGCAAATAGAAATTGTGATATCTGTAATCAAATTAGAAATATAAAAAAAGACAAACATCTCAAATCACTTGTCAACATTCCCACAGACTCTTAATTCTTTATCCCAGAGCATTCCTCTAAATGAGTAATAAAATGTTTACATTTAGTGTGACTTTATTAACAGTAGCTCCAATTCAATAAAAGTGTCCGGTGTTGTGCCAAAAATCAATTGCCAAATGGCGGCCGCGGGAGTATGCATGGGAAGAATTTAACAAGATTAACATTTACAAACAATTATTTGTTTGCTCAAAATTATAGCAAAGGTGTGTCTCAGTTTAACTTTTACTTAATAAATGCACTTTGTCAAATCAGCTGCATTTCAAAAGCCGATTCGCGGCTGCGGGAGCGCGCAGAGGAAGGACTCGCTGTGCATTTTTTCAAAATTTAATAAGATAACCACCTTAAAAACAATTATTTGTTTGCTCAACATTATAGCAAAGGTGTGTCTCGGTTGAACTTTTACTTAATACATGCACTTCAATGGTCAAATCAGCTGCATTTCACCTGGGCGGCGTGGCGAAAGGTAGCTGATTTGACATTTGTGCCAGGAGTGCCGGAGCGAGATGAAGGTGGTTTACTAAGGCAAGCCAAGTGTCTCATTAATAACCAAGTATCAATTAATTAATGGCCAATAATCAAGTCAACACTTGCTCTTGTCAACGGCAGACGTATTCTCCTCCTCTCCCTCTCCACTTTGCTTTTGCTCTGGCCTGTTTGTGAAACTGTTTTAGAGCTTCCGAATCATAACTATGGATTTGGAATTGATCAGTTGGTCCCTCAACACAATAACATTTCTTTGAAGAGAAGACGCTTTAGGTGAGCCGATTTGCTCTGTTGGCATGCACGCAGCTGGATATCTCATCGACTTAGAAGACTTGATGTCTCTGCTGTCATCTGTGAATTTTAAGGACACATATAGAATTGGATTTATGATAACTGGTTCCTGCTTTTTGGATTTGGCTGGTTCCTGGTTTATCTACAATCAAGGAAGTTGTAGGCAGCAAATTTGGGCTCGGTCAGGCTGCTTGCCTTATGATGGCTTGGTTCGTGCCTCGAGCACCCAGACTCAAATGCTTTTGGCAGAATGGATCAGATCTCGGGGATTATTCTCAGGCATGATCCAATGGTGTGGCCTTTTAATTTGGATGTTTCAAAACCGAGTGGACCGACGCAGACTCAAGGTAGATTTGATTAAATTCTTCCTGTCCTCAAAACAATCGTGTTTATCTGAATTCGGCTCCCTGACTGGCCTCGACAGGACATCTTATCTTAATTTGCCTGGAAGTTTTGTAAACCTGATGCTCAGCCCCTCCCTCCACGCCTACTGAGGAGTTTCCATGAACTTTTCAGAGGGGCCCAATTGAATAAACATTCTGTCATCATTTCAGGACTCTTTGGATTCATCCTTGGCCGTCCTCGGCACATCCCCGAGTGCACGGATCTCTCCAGAGGGATCTATTTGAACTGAGTGATTTTATCTGAACTCTGCAGTGCCTCTGTGTGTCGTCTCTGACTGCTCACCGTCCTTGCGTCCCCACCCACCCCAACCCCCCACATAATGTCAGCGTCCCTCTAGTGGCTGAAAATGGAAGTGTTCAATATTTTCCATGTCCGAATGAATGAAATCATTGGATCTCAGACAAAAATTGGTTTATAAATGTGGAAGAAAAAACATAAACAAGTGGTTTGGCTGTATAAGTCGCAGGGCACGCTAGTTTATGCAAAAAGGTGTGGCTTATACAGTGAAAAATACGGCAAGTTGTTTTAAGAGTTTTACATTTTTGCTTATTTATTCACGGTTCAAGATTATTGTCATTCGCATCACATGTGGTACATGAGGTGGAATGAAATTGTTTACACAGAATCTCAGTTACACCCAAAAATAGCAAAAATATAAAGTATTAAAAAAAACTGTATACAAGAATCTAAGATATATGCTAAACAATAATTGTGTAATATAATATGTTATATTAAACAGCAGCTTGAATATAAACAATTTAAACAAGGTTTAAACAATGTGTCGTCAGATTATTTTGTTTATGCATCGTTATAGTTTCAGAGAAACTGTTTGAGTAAACGCAACCGAATTTCAGCAAATGTTGTCATGTTGATGTAAAGATAATTTAGCATCTGAGACAAAAATAAGGATGAATGTCCCACAGCAGGAATAATGCTGCATCATCTTCATCAACCGGGACAAAGGCACAGGTATGTGACACAAACACAAGAGTCGCACGGAAGTTTCTATTTGCGCTTTAGGTTGGCCTGACGTTACTGAACCAGTTCGACTGCATTCTTTTTTTTATTCGCGTCCTGCAGTCACTCAGTCAGTTCCCTCAGCGCAGATTATACAAGAATAAACTTAACAAAATCAGCAGGGAAGGGATGTTCAAGATGTCTGTAAATCTGCTTGTTGACAGTTGTTGCCTCCAAACTTCTCTGTATATGACGATGTGCAGACATGTTGACATAACAGGTAACCAACAGGTCTGTCTTGAAAATGACTCGGTGAGACTAACCTGTATGAATAAAGGCTGAACGAATAACAAAGGTTAAAGTTGGACAGGGATGAACTACACGCTACATAAGGAGTTAATAACCTAAACCCACTGTGAAACAACAAATTGCTTTCCTTTCAGTTTCAAAGTTACAGGGTCTACGTCTCACCTGGCGGGCTCTGTGCGTCTGCTCAGGTGTCAAACTCCAAACATATGGGTCTGGTTGGACGTGAAGGTTTACAGCTGACGGCTAAACTCCAGTCCACCCTGTCAGTTTCCATGGTTGTCAGCTGGTCCTACGTGTGCAGGTGAGTCCACAGGCAGACCCATTCCCACTGGAGATGAGAACAGTTTCACAAGTGCAGTTTCTGTTGTGCTGTGATGCCTCGCTCGTCTTCCCTCTCGTATCTCTCGCCCTCGTTGGCCACACCTTCCACCCTCCCCAGCACTTTTTCCTTGTCACCTTTAACACATGAACTCAGCCTGTCAGTCACTGGTTTGACTATTCATGAATTAATGCGCTTCTGTAGACGTTACCACACGGATGGCTGCTTTTGTCTGATTGAAAGACGTAAATCAGTAGAGATGAAGTAATTCTTGTTAAGTGCAATTTATTTATTTATTTATTTATATATTTATCTATTAGTTTATTTGACAGGGACAATGCACAGAAACATAGAACAGTACAAGTCTGTGACTGATGCATTGCACAAAGAGTATACCGCTATAGCTAATTCGCAACTCCAGTCCCTGGTTGGGCATTTCTACACATTAAAATACATAATATACAAAATAATGCATATTTCTGCAGATAGCTGAACGATCTATTCAACTGACGGCCCGGGGGCCAGATCAGGACCACGGGTGAACTCAGTTCGGCCCACCAATGGGTTCATTTTTAAGTAAAACTAGACTTTAAACCATAAAACAAACTTACTTAATGACAATAACTGCTGGATGAGCTCTTATTCTCCTCTGAGCAAATAATAAGTTTGATTTTTTTTTTAATTTTTTATCTAGGACAATTAAAACATGCTGCAACATGAAACAAATAAAACCCATCTCCATCTATTCTAATCCACTTTTTTGTGTTCAGGTTGTGGAGGCAAACTGTCCTGGAGGGAAACCCAGACATCCCTCTCTCCTCTCTTTCCAGCTCCTCCTAGAATCTCAAGACACTTCCAGGCCAGAGGGAATATTCGATCCATCCAGCGAGCTTTTGGTCTGCCCCATGGATTTCTTCTCAGTGGTACGAGCACAGAAAACATCTGTAGGAAGGTACCCAAAGATGTCCTTGTCATACGCCAAACAATCTCATCTCGCTTCGTTCAACGCAGAGAAACTACTCTGAGTTCCCCCTAGATGAAAACATCCTTACCTCATCTCTGAGGCTGAGCCTGGCCACCACACAGAGGAAGCTCATTTCAGCTGCTTGCACCCAGGATCTCATTCTTTTGGTCATGATCTATGTCTCGTAAGAGTTGAAACATATGTACCGGAGCAACACCCTCATTACTGTGGTCAGACCCAGCAGTCTATCTCCCACTCCATCCTGCCGTCACACATACAGATGTTCAAACTTCTCCACTTGAGGCAGCCTAAAGCTCGACCCAGCGGGAGAATTCAACTTTCCAACTTTTTCCTCCATCTTTATACATTCTCGAGTTTTTAATGCTACTAAGCAAACACCATCTATAAAAGGGAATACATCCCTTACATATATTTATTATAAATAAACTGAAGGTGTCTATTTTTATCATCTTCCTAAGATTAAGATACAGACAAAAAAACATTTTTTTTTCATTTAACCTTTATTTATACAGGTAGTCTCATTGAGCCACGATAAGTCATTTTCAAGAGTGTCTTTCACCTTTTTAGGTGAATTTACAGTAAATGTGGAACTCTAGAAGACTGGAAGAAGAAAAGACTGTTGTTAGGATGCCAAAAAGCAGAAGTGACTCCAGTTTATTGGTTTCATTTAAGGTGTGACCTTCCTTTCTTTTAAAATTCATATTGGTACATGATTTTAAAGAAGTTAAATGATGCTGTGGGTCAATTTACTTCAGAAGTCATTGTTTAAATCTGGGAACAACATGACTACAATTGTGCTCCAGTTGGAAACTGGAATCGGAGGCAATATGTTCATCATAAATGGTACTTCTTCCAGCTTTCTAACTGTTAACAATGGTGTACCACAAGGTTCAGTCTTAGGACCCGCCCTCTTCACAATCTACATAAGTAATGTAGGTCAGATCATTCCTGATGCATCCATTTCTATGCTGACAATAAAGTTGTTTACTGTCGAGCTAGATCAGTTGCTAAGGTTTTCCAGCTTTTCCAGTCTACATTCGACATCATCCAGTCTGATTTGTTCCGTCTCAAACTGGTGCTAAATGCTGATAAAATCAAAGGGCTGTTGTTTACAAACAGGAAGTTGGTCCCAGCAGTCTTTCTATTTTATCCTTAAATGGTGTTCCTGTTGAGTTTATCGATTCTTACAAATACTTGGGTATTTTGGTGGATTCACATCTCTTTAAAGCCTCATATTGAAAACTTGATAAAGAAATTGAAGGTAAAACTGGGTTCCTTTTTCAGAAACGGATCCTGTCCAACTCTGAACGCTAGGAAACCACTTGTAACTGTGACTTTCCTTCCCTCCATTGACTACAGTGACATTATTTACATGAACGCTCCAACAAGCGCCCTGCAGATGTTGGATGCTGTCTATCATGGTGTGACAAGATTCAGAACTGGCTGTAACTACCGTACCCACCACTGCACCCTGTATTCACTGGTTAACTGGTCACCATTAACTTCACGCAGACTCTCTCACTGGTACATTTTCATCTTTAAATCACTTCTTGGTCTGTTGCCTTCATACATCTCCTCCTAGATGTCACTTCATCAGTGCAGCTACAGCGTGCACTCTCAAGACATCATTACCTGCAGTGTACCCTCAGTGAGGACTGAACTAGGCAAAAGGGCCTTCTCTTGCTCCGCCCCTGTAACCTGGAACACCTTGCAAAAAGATCTGAAGTTGTCGACTTTGGGATTTTTAACAACTGCTAAGTTCATGGCAAAAACCAACGCAGACACGTTCTTGTTTTTAATATTACATCGCTTTATAATGTAGCTGTTTTTTGTTTTGTTTTTATATCATCTTTTCTATTTACTTTTTCATTTTATATGCTTTTATATGATTGTCTATTGTTGTCTGTACCTCATCTGTGTTCTTTGTTTAAAACAGGTCTCCCTTGTAAATGAGTCCTCAAGGCTCAATGAGATTAACCTGTATAAATAAAGGTTGAATGAATGGAAAACCAGTCGGACTTGACAATGTTAGTGCTCAGTGACTGGGCTAAATACAAAGTAGTATTAGTAGCACAAGCCGATAACAATGGACTTGTCTGAGTCATTGTAGCAACACAATCAATAGTGTTTGGACAGTTCGTGTGCAGATGCAAACTGACAAAAGGTCAATTCAAGGTAATAATTGCAGCTTTTAATGGGAGAGTCCGTCATATTGAGTTTCAAAGTCTGGGCGGGTCAAGAATCTTTGATGATTTGAGTACGAATTCTGACTTTGGATGATGTTCCAGTTGATTTTTTTTTTTACTTGGATCTTCAAAATTCAGATGTCTGAGTACAAAGTTCCCCCACTAAAGGTGACGGCAAGGAATGATATGTAATCTCAGGAAGCTGTTGCCTTTGCAACAAGCAAGTTCGTCTCAGCACTTAATCCGCATATATTTGAAGAAGTGAACACCAAAGAAATAAGCTTTCTAAAATCCTTTGACATTTAATGAACTCCGCACATCACTGATCTTTACGCAGAGTGCATATCAAACATACTTTTTACGTTATTATTTTTCGAATTTGTGGAGAAAAATGTTTTCAAGCGTCTGATTTTCCCACTTTTGTTTGTTGACAGGTTTCCTGTAATGTTCCAGTTCTTTGTGAAAAAAATGTCTTAACAGTTTATTTGACTTGCAGACTGTTTTTACAGCAAATACTCTTTTATTTCATTCCTAGATTTTGTTAGGAGTCAATTTTTTTAGCCTTAATTTAAGTATATTAATGACGATAAAGTCACTCTTGAAAACAAAAAAATAAATGTTGTATTATGTTTTTGTTTGCCTAATAGGACTAAAAGTAGTAAAGAAATAGAAAAGGCTTGGTACAATGTCCCTTCTCTCGGGATCAAACCTAACAGGAAGAAGGAAAACGTCTTTATTTTGCTTTATAAACAAAACGGGTCAATGTTTAGCTGTGAGCCAGAACCCATCCAGGAATGTCATCAAGTGACTGAAACTATCTTTTGCTTTCTAGTTTAAAATTGGGAACCTTGTCCAGCAACTAACGGCCTGGCAGAGCCTGCAGATTAATTTAGTTTGATTTGAGGGAGAAGTAATTCAAACCACTACACTGACTCTTCCATCTGTTTTCTTTGGTAACACAAAGTCACCATACTTTTCAAGCAGGGCTTAATTTAAGCCGGATCCTGTCAGAACAGCATCCGGGAGCCCTCTTATTTTGACATTGTGCGTTCCAGCAACTGTTTGCTCGGATCTGACTACTCTCAGACTTACTAATAATAAAGCTAGGAACAAATATAACCGCCTTGAAAGAGTAAAACTTATTTTGGACATGTAAACTGAAAATAATTACATAAACACTAATTTTAAACACAACAGACGACACAACACGACTTCTTAATATCACATATGATCATTTGCACCTTCAAGGGAAGCATTTTTGCCTCTACCCTTAAAAAAATCTCCGCCCTTAAAAGAGTGGTGGGGTGAGTGCCTGGAGGTTTCACATGTTCATTCAACCTTTATTTGTACAGGTTAGTCTCATTGAGCCTCGAAGACTCATTTACAAGAGAGACCTGTAAATGGAGTCGGACAGTGAGCTCAACGGAGAAGAGTCTGCTTAGAACCATTAAGTTAAGGGGGAGGGGGGGGGAATGTAGGTAAACACAGATGTTTAACAACCCGTTAAAATACACCATAATGCAGGAAATCACGTCTGCTTTATTCAAAATCGTCAAAACTCTAAATTAACACCCGTTCTTTTTACAGTAAATAGCTCATGAATTTGATATACAATGTATTTAATAAAAAAACATTAGGCAATAAGCAATGAACAACACATTAATCAATAAACAGAAACATAGATAAATATGCAGCAATCAGTTAAAGAGGCAGTGCTGTGTAAAGATGCCTGTGAGACAGCCCAGCACATAATACTGGGACGTCAAATACAGGCAAGGTCCCAGTGTCAAAGTAGGAGCTTCCACCAAGGAGGGTGGACAATGGGGGCCAAGATACTGTGAGACTTCCAGATCAAGACTGACAAAGAGGTGACTGCTAACCAACCAGATATTTTAATGTTTGACATGCTAAAATAGATGTCCTGAACTCCAATTACAGAAACAACAAACAGAAGAAATGCTGTACGCTCACAAAATACTGAAAGAGGGAAAAGAGTGTGAAGTTGAAGACCTTAGTGGTGCCAGTGATCCCAGGGAAAACCTGAGGGGTCTCTATCCAGAAGAGCGCAGTCGCAGGAACAAGTAAGATTCTGCTTAGAACCATTAAGCTCCGAGACCTTCGATAGGCCACCTGCTGCTCTCAGCAGACCTGGACCAGATTCTGTGAACAATTGGACTGGACTGGATGACCTTAGAGGACTGTTGATGTTCAAGGAAATAAGTGTGCTTCCAGCAGACATACCTTACAAAGATAGTTTTAGCGTTTATCTCATTGTTCGACTTCCTGGCTGGATTAATTGGTTTAACTCTCATTTGTCTAAGAGTACTGATGACTGCTCTCAAAAAGACACGTGATTTTTAATTCTTCAATTAAACCTCCTCGTTGATGTGGGTTATATGAAAAAAATGGAAGAGGAAATAGTTGTGGATGTGTTTTATATGTAAACTCATATACAAAGTGAGTCAATGAGCTTCTCATTAAAGAAAATTGATAAGTTCAAAAATGTAATTTTGTTTAATAATTGGGAATAGTTTTCTCATTCAGTTCTGTCATTTTAAATGGAAATGTGTAATTTCCTATAGGCACAAAAAGAAGCTAAAAGGATCCACCCTTTGGTCTACTTGCTGGCCACTCCGTCTTATTGTGGAATGCTCCAGCTAACTGTAACTGCAGCCGGAGCTAATTTACAGCATGTCAGAATATGTGCGTGTGCGCGTGTGCACGTTTGTGCGTGCACGACAGAGCGTCCGGTGCAGTCCTGGTAATGCTGAGACTCCCGGTGAGCGGCTGGGTTTATTTTTGGATCAGTGACAGTGTGTCAATGGCCGCAGATGCGTCGGAAAGGAAAGCTCTGAGATACAAGCAAACTCTGGTCAGTGTCCTCTTCTTTTTTTTATAACTCTGTCTCAGTCTTTTACTATTTATACGTCAACTTTTACCTATCTGTCTCATTGTGTCTCCAGTTTCTTTCTCCTGAATCACATTTCACTCATGACGCACCTGTAGGACCAATAAGACTTGCACTTGCACGGATGGTGACCGCGTAACTTAAAGTTTCTAGAGAAATTCCAAATATAATGAAGACCATTATCCAGTTAACAACAATAGGGTTGTAAACATGGTCAAACAACGGATGCTGAGACACGATGCACCTCCTACATTCCTCATTCTTGCATGCACATGCACACGTGCGGACATCTTGACAGTCTTAGTGCTTCTTACTTTGATTCTTCCACCTGTCTAGAGCCACTCTGCATGTCAGTTCTTAAGAGCTGGTTGAATGCAACACTTGTAAGAATGACTCGTGTCACATATCGCAGGTTTCTGTGCATAAATGTGCACGTGCGTCAGAGAAACGGTATTTACACCCAGTTTCAGGACGTCCATGTTTTAAAGAGTCCACGTTTGTTAATATTTTTGAAGCAGTAGTGTGCATGCACAGGTGTGTTGTCGAACATTTGTTTTTCCAAAGAGGGGAAGCAAATATTCTTCATTCATGTGGGCTGGTGAAGGCTGAACATCTGGAGGAGTCTCGCTGCGGCCTTGACATGTAAAAACAGAGAAATTCAACGTTTGTCTGTTTGGTTGTCGATGAGGAGCTGTTGAGTTTATGCTGAGCTCTTTGTGATGGTGAGAGCACAGAAAGTTGTTTTAGTAACGTAACAGAAAAGAAATTGAAAAGGATTATGCCAATAAGCCAATAACTTCAAGGTGGCTGCATGTTGGAGTAGCTCTCTTACATTCATTCTGAGGTTTTGCTTTTGAAAACTTTTAATTACTCTTTTTTTCTGGATGTAAATGGCTTTTTCCAGATGATTACTTCCTCTGGTATCAGATGCTGTGCCGCTGGAAAGATTTTTACTGAATCCTTTTTTTTAACTTTTGGACATTTGTTATGATGCGTAACCATAACAACAAGGTGTTTTTTTTTACAACTGGGAGCTGCTGATTAACATCTCAAAAGCTCAAATCAACTACAGCCCCAAATCCTAAATAAATAGTTGAAAAGGAGGTGCCGTTGATGCATTCCCATCTATCTGCATGACCGCAGAGATCTTGGAGGTAGTGGAAAACGCTGCTCGTGACAGCGGGAGGACCAAGATCATCCCCTGGCGCCTGCAGTTAAGTCTGTGACAACAAAAAATGGTCATCGCTCAGGGAGGAGCTCTGCCCGACATTCAGGCAGTCCTGCTGCCCAAGAGGACTGAGAGGTCTGCTGGGTCTGGGTGGATGGATCGGCATCTGCAGTCAGTTTTTTCGGGTCTGCTTTTGGATGGATTGTTTCAAGAGATCCAAAGCCATCAGCATCTAGAACAACTCTAATGAAACCAGGATGATGAATTACAACAACAATTAATGTTCCTTTGGGATTAATAAAGTATTTTCCTAAAGTGATGGTTCTAATTTTTTTTTCCAGTGGTCGTATAATGAAGCATTGAAAAGAAAACTTTTGTTGCGGAAAACTGAGAGGTGTGAAGTGTTATTGGAATATTGGCTCGCACGGAGGCTAAATTTAGTCCCGAGTAGTGTTTCATCACTGCAGGGAGACTCAAGGAAAAGATTTAAGCAACAAGAGGCGGCTGCAATGAACGCAGGAGCTAAAACGTACAAGTTTTATGGGTTCGGAGGGATAAAAATAAGATTAAAACCAATGAAAGAACTTGAATTTTGAAAACTTGGGGTGAAAAACTGGAATTTTTCTACCATTTTGAGAAAAAAATTGATTCTATAATATGAAAAAAATGTTTTTAGTTTTACAAATTTGTGTTTTGTTGTCAAGCAGATGCTAGTTTCATTAAATATAGTTAGTAAACTATATCAAATTCAACTTAGCTATGATGCATGTGACCTAGAATTGGACATAACGGTATTTAAAAAAAGTCACAGGTATGTAAATTATTTAATTTTAGCTGCCATTGTTGAAATAGGGCTTTGGAATTGAATTACGTCATGTGTTTCTGTATAATTACTGCATTTCCTTCATCACAGTATTTTAAATACTGCCTAATACTTCAAATTCACTTCGCTGCACAGTCCACAGTGAATGCTCATCGGCAGCCAAGTGTTTCCAACATGATCCTTGATGTGTGAAGATTTTGCATCAGACATTAGTTGTCTTGGACCAGAAGCAGTTTGAGGGAACTTTACAACAATAAGGGGTTAAACTGAAACTTTGATAAACTAGTCCGCTCGTAATCTCATCCGAGCAGCAGATTACATAAAACATTTAGTGTCAAACAGAAGCTTCTCCCCCGAGTCAACACAACCGTGCATACTATTGTCTGAGCCTGACATTCAGTGACAGTCATGTGTACAATGCTTCTCAAGTTTCACTGCCTTTCGACTGGCATCTCTGTCCACGCAGTGTTTCCAATGTACACGCGTGTCTAAATCCATCCATCTTTAAACTGGCCTGACCGTGAACTCGCCAAATTAAAAGCTGTTTAAAGGTTGTTGCATGAATGTCATGAGTGTTGGTGGCTTACCTACTTGTCGCTTAAATTCCTCAAGATCGACCGTCTCCATCTGTAAAAACAAGAGCAATTATATGCGCCAACCAAAAGTTTGTGTAACATTAAATTCATGCTAATAAATGGATGGAACCATGACATTTTACATTTCTAACATGTTGTTTTTGTTGTCAAAACTAAACATCTTATTTGAAATTAAATTGATCATATTTGTGAAAGCATAAAATCATTTTAAACAGAATCTGATCATTAAATATGAATCCACAGCTTCTGTCTCTTTCTTCTAAATGACTCTTCAATTCCAAATGATGAAAATCCTCACACACAAAAACACCACAACACCGTACAGCGAGTTGCAAAAATATTCCCCCCTCTAGGTGAGATTTCTATTTTGTTTCTTTACAACCTGGAATTAAGTTAACAATTCTCTAAAAATACACCAATTATTGAAATTAAATAAAGAGAAAAAATCGAAAAGTTGTGCATTCTTTGTGTTGAATCCTCAACCGTTACGGTTCAAACCACGTACGACAATTATTAAATAAAATGCATTTGTGAGCAATCTAAGTGCCAGTCGATATTAACCTGTCAAATTATGCACACCTGTTGTAATAGCACCCAGAATTAACACCGATTTAACATCTCTAAGAAGGCATGTCAACGAGTAAAAGACGTCATGAAGACATAAAGTTGTGGAGAAGTACAAATCAGGGTTTGTTAAAAAATTATCCTAAACTTTAAACATCTCAGAGCATCATTAAATCCATTATTATTAAAAAACAATGCCACCAAAGCGAGAGTTGTCCATCAAACCCATGGACTAAGGAGGGTTTCATGAAAGAGTGGCAGGAATAAATAAATAAAGCCTGGACTGTTTGTAACAATTTCCCCAAACATCTGGAAGATCTTACTTCCCCTTAACTTTTAGGACAACCATATCTCATCATGCCGAGAACACCTTCTCTATAGTGAGGCATGGTGGTGGCAACATCATGTTGTGGTGATGGTTTTCATTGCACGTGGAGACTGGTCACAGTTAAAAGAAAAATTGTAGGAAAAAAACTTATTGGCAGGAACTAGTTGTAATCTTCCAAAGATTTTAGATTGGGTTGCAGGTTGAACAAGTCAGTTGTCTTTTGTGGCATTTATTGTAATAAAGAAATAAAGCAAATAAGAACAGTCAGAAATAAAAATAAAGCAATTGCTGGTTGCACATTTCTCAGAGTCCCCCCCCCCCCCCCCCCCGACATAAGAAGCAAGAATATATTTACTGGGGACGCACAGACTTGAACTCACGAGCCAACCAGGTTCTCAGACGCCTCGGGGTCAGAGCATGTGTGTCCCCCAGAGACAATTTCTGAAGCTTGCTCTGTTGCCCAGAACACAAACTCATAATAAGCCATAAAAGCCAGTACCATTAACAGAAATGTCTTATTGGCATTAAATTGTATACGTTTGGGTTAAAAGTAAAAACTGTTTTGTGTCAAGCACTCATGACAGCTTCCAGTGACCACTACAGACTATATGAAACATGTACTGTATCATGTGAAAGTAAAATAGTATAATTTTTCATTCACAAAGGCAAGAAAATAGAAATACTATAATACTCGAGCTGATTTTTTTTGCAGCCCAATGTAAGATTTTCACCCGCTTCGAATCTTATCAGCCATTGAATGGTCGTTATTAGTTATCATCCCCATATGTAGCGGTCAGACTGCCCCTCCTGTACCTCCTAGTGGGTTTAAAGGTACGTTGTTAGCGATGGTAATAGGCTCCGTTTTTACCTTTGTTAGCGCTCATAGCTTCACGTGGTTAGGTTTAGAGTAAAGGGTCTGGTGGTTAGGTTTAGGGTCTTGGTTAAGTTTAGAGTAAAGGGTAAGGGGGTTAAGTTTAGGGTTGGTCCTCTGGGTCAGGTGTAAGCTTACGTTTAGGAAAACTGAAAGCTGAAAAAAAAAAAAGACACTTCCTGGTTTACCACTGTGTGATGCTGCCTATTATCAGCGATAAAAACGTACCTTTAAACCTACTAGGAGGTAGGTGGGACAGTCTCACCGCTACATATGGGGATGATAACTACTAACAACAGCCATTTAATGGACTGATAACATCAGAAGCCGCACATATTTTAATAAAAATTATCTGAAACACTGTATAATGTGTGACAGTGACAGTATAATGTTGGACATGTTTCGTATGAGGGACAAATCAAGGGCAACTCCTGAGTAAGCTAAGACATGTTTACTTGTGTTGGAGTGAGAATTAATCTCTTCCCCAGATGTCTTGGGCAGTTTTTATGGAGCATGGTGATAAATCTAGAGGCAGAGCCCACGTTTCCTCTTCCATTAGAGTCTTTGGGGGTCAACACGTGGTTCAGTCTATTTTTAATACACAACCTCTCAGCCGGAGTACTATTTACTCTCCATGTTGATGTCTTTGAATGAATGATGCTCGGTATTGATTTGCTGTCTTTCATTTTACTATTTTGATGGTTCGCTGATTGGCTTGCAGCTTTATGGGGAGTACCAGGAGCACCAAGGAGGCTCAGGCAGACGAGAGGCCACACGTCTTCTGACAGAGAGGCAGATCAAGAAACATGGGATCAAGAAGCACAACAACCATGGGCGGACACGGCACAGCCACGGCCATGGCCTTCAGCACGGCTGTCACAACAGACAAAAGGCTAAATTTCAGCCCAACGTGGAAAACGAGGCTGCTGATGAGAAAACGGCTGAGAAAGATTTAACATCCTGCCTGCAGAAGAAGCGCTCCTTCTCCAAGTGCAGAGGTGAGACAGTAAAAACACTGATGTTAGATGGATGCTGCGGGTCCTGCTTTGTGATTTGTGTCTGGTTCTGACAGACTGCATAGCTCAGGTGCAGCGGTTTCTTGTGACGAGGCTGGGAGAGGACTGGATTTTTTTGGTCCTACTGGGAATTACAATGGCTCTGGTCAGCTGGACAATGGATTATGCCAGTGCAAAGAGTCTGCAAGGTATGACTGCAGGGCTTGTTGTTCTCACTTGGCTGTATGGAAGACATGCCAGATGTTTTCCTGCCTGCCGTTTTCCTCTTTTATTGCTCGTCCATTTTCTCTGCACCTACACTTTGATTTTCCTTTCTTTCTTGGTATTTAATCCCATTTGGTTATCATACTTTTTCCACTCTCCACTCTACAGCGTATAAATGGATTTATGGGGAGCTGAGGGGGAACATCCCCTTGCAGTACCTGGCCTGGGTTTCCTATCCCCTGATTTTCATCCTCTTCTCCTCCCTCTTCTGTCACCTGGTTTCTCCTCAGGCTATCGGTCTGTACAGCTCGCTTCCACACACCTGCATCCTCACGCTCCTCTGTGCACATCTGCTTTTAGTTTCAGGGAATATTTGTAAAATTTCCAGAACCCCCACAGTTCTGAGACGCCCATCTTTCTGCAAGCATAGATTTGAGTTCTCTCTGGTTCAAGTAGATCCACATGGGTTTGCCAAGGTGGGACTAATTAAAACAATACGGCCCTGTTTACACGACAACGATCCAATGAAAACAGATTTTTTTCCCCCCCATTTCTATTAACACATTTACATGAAAACTTTCAATTACAATCTCTGTTGACACATCAACGGGAGACGTGGAAAAGGTGTAATTCCCTTGACACGCCACTAGTTGGTGCTATATTCTTTGAAACTTGAAACTTTCTAACTGTAAAGTTTCTCTCAAGAGAAAGCCGCCATATCAAAAGTCCAGGTGATGTCCAAACTGAAAGCAGTCCGGGGAAATTAGATGTATAGATTTATAAAAGTCAGAATTACAAACAGTACTCTGGTATTAACCATTGTCAACAGTTTCTTCTTCTGTGGATTGGAAGCCGTTGTGTTTTGCATCATACGGCGCATGAGCCAGGGACTCCCTGACAGAAACCATCTACTTTTTCTGTTTACACGACAACGGACACCGGGACGTTTTTGAAACATTGCATTATGGAAACCATTCTCAAATTGTGCCGTTGTCAGAGAAAACATTTATTTTCATGTAAATGAACAGAACAAACGCAACAAAACTCTTCTGTTTTCACCAGAAATCGTTTTCGTGTGAACAGGGCCTAAATCTAAAATCTTCCAGGCTGCATTATTCAGCTTTGCATCGCATGTTTTCTTACTCTGCTTTCAAATCTCTTTTAGAACCAGAGTCATTTTGGTTTGAGAGAATTCAGAAGGAGGTGATTGATAATGAAGTGGCACATTTCAGTTTTCAAATCATATCAACTTTATTTATAAATTACAACTGAAACAACCAGAGTTAACTAAAATGAAGACAATTCAGATTAACCAATCAACCTAAAATATAGATAAGACCAAAACTGATTATTTCAGATTTGCTATCATACAACTGGAGACAGTTACTCTCCAATAGTTTGCTTCTTCTCATAGTGCCACATACATGTAAAGGAACTTATTGCAAAGTCATGTATCAGTGAAAAAACAAAGTAATACATTTAATCCCCTACTGTATATTTTTCATATTTGGGGTCATTATGTGACTAAATTCAAAATTAGTTAGCAAAATTTGTGACCAGATCCCACAGAAGCAATCGAAGTGACTGAAAATAGGTCAAACATTGAACTCAGTGATCTAGCAGAAAGTATTTGGGTTTGAGGGGAACAGGAAGGAGAAACCAACAAACAGAATGGCAGGTCCATGTGTACTTTCTATAGGAAGAAAGACAAAAAACACATGTTAAAGATAGAAATGCGTACAAATACAAACAGGTAGAGTGGAGCAAGTAAAGACAGCAGCAAAATGAGGAAATGTGGTCAGTTTTTCCTCCAGTAGTCTAAGCCTATAGCAGAATAACTAAGGGATAGTTCAGGAAACCTAAGCTGACCATAACAATATGATTTATTAAAAAGGAAAGCCTTAAGTCCAGTCTTAAAACTGGACAATGTGTCAGCCTCATGGACAGAAACTGGAAGTTGGTTCCACAAGAGAGGAGCCTGATAACTGAAAGATCTTCCTCCCATTCTGCTTTTGCAAACTCTAGGAACCACAAGTAAGCCCGCAGTCTGAAAGCAAAGTACTCTGTTAGGAAAATATGGAACAATAAGATCAGTAATATGAGATGGAGCTAGGTTGTTGAGGGCTTTGTAGGTTAGAAGTAAGATTTTGAATTCAATTCTGGACTTGACAGGGAGCCAGTGGAGAGAAGCTAAAACTGGAGATATGATCTCTTTAAAACCCTGGCAGCAGCATTTAAGATCAACTGAAGACTTTTTAAATAATTGTTTGGACACCCAGATGATAAACAATTGCAATAATCCAGCCTAGTGACAAATGTATGAACCCGTTTTTCTGCATCATTTTGGAAAAGATCCATGTAGCTTGTTTCCCAACTAGAACCATTAAAGAGGTCGTGTTTTTCACTGCTTTGAATTTGTCAGAAGCTTGTATCTTCACTTCTGACTCTATATTAACTTCATCTCACCTGTCCATGAAGGTTCTGGTATCCCGGAGCTGAAGACCATCTTGAGAGGGGTGGTGCTGAAGGAGTATTTAACCCTCAAGGCTTTTATAGCAAAGGTCATCGGTCTGACTGCAGCCCTGGGGAGTGGCATGCCTGTAGGAAAAGAGGTGGGTAAATAAAACGTGAATTAATCTGACAGTTTATATGGTTTTATTTAACTGTCCTGATGTGTTCAGGGTCCGTTTGTTCACATTGCCAGTATCTGTGCGGCGGTTCTCAGTCGCTTCATGTCCTTCTTCTCAGGAGTTTATCAGGTAAGCTGATGTCAGGAAACATTCGATTTTTTAAGAAGTGAGCATAAAGAATGCGTGCAGCAGGAGATATACCTTGGCTATATGTTGTTTCTCCTCCTGTTTCAATGCTGCCCCCTCCCTCTCTGGATCAGTAGAATCCGTACTGTTACACAGACATCCTGACGGTGGGCTGTGCTGTCGGGGTGGGCTGCTGCTTTGGCACGCCGCTTGGAGGTACGCAACTTTTTTCATTTTGCTCTTTTTCCATATCTTTCATTCTGATCATGGATTAATGTGTGCATCATATATTTTTCATGTTTATGAAGTGTTTGTGTCTTTTGTGTTGTACATAACATAACCTCTGTCGCGTTCTAGAATTGCGCCGCTGGGGGTGGCTGCATGTTGAAGAAGCTCTGTTACATTCAGTCTGAAATTTTGCTTTTGAAAACTTCAATTCCTCTTTTTTCTGTATGTAAATCGCTTTTTTCGGATGTTTACTTCCTCTGGTATAGAATGCTGTGCAGCTGGAAGGATTTTTTAAAACTTTTGGACATTTGTTATGAGGCGTAACAACAAGGTGGTTTTTACAACTGGGAGCTGCAGATTAACATCTCAAAAGCTCAAATAATACCCTAGCTACAGCTCCAGATCCCAGATGAGTTGAAAAGGAGGTGCCGTGGATGCACTCCCATCTACCTGGTGGCGGTGCTCGAGTGCCTGACGGCCGAGATCCTAGAGCTGGCAGAAAATGTGGATTGTGACGGCAGGATGACCAGGATCGTCCCTCGACTCCCGCAGTTCCATCTGCGGGGACGAGGGGCTCGGCAGGCTGCTGGGAGGAGTGGCCATCGCTCAAGGAGGAGTTCTGCCCAGAATTCAGGCAGTCCTGCTGCCCAAGAGGACCAAGAGGTCTGCTAGGTCCAGGTGGACGGATCGGCATCTGCAGCCAGTTTCTTCAGATCCACTGTGGGACGGACTGCTGAAGATCCTTCCTGCCTACAGACAGCATCTACAGTGAAACCAGGATGATGAGCTACAACAACAATTTATTTCCCTTTGGGGTTGATAAACAACTTTTGAATTGAATTGAACTGAATCGAATAAAAAGGGGCAAAAGTAGCTTTTCTGTAAAAAAAAACAACAACCATATTTATTATTTAATTTCAAGGACTGTTTTTTTATTTTCTGTCTGATTTGTTCCTTCTTTGTGCCGTTTCTTTCTGCATCAGGTGTGCTCTTTAGTATAGAAGTGACATCCACGTACTTTGCTGTGAGAAACTACTGGAGGGGATACTTCGCTGCTACGTTTAGTGCCTTCATCTTCCGAGTGCTGTCTGTATTTAACAAAGATGCAGGTTTGGATCAAAGAGTTTTTTATGATGCGTTCATGCTCAGTCAAGGGTGCCGTTTCCTCACAATCCATCACTAAACAGCTGTCACAACACAAAATGCATAAACTATGAACGCATCACACATTTTGCACTAGATGGTGCTGTTTTCTATCATTTACCAGGAGTTTAATGTTTAATCAAATGTGCTTATTGCTCTAAAAACCAAGAAAACCTCTGCAGGTGCTACAGCAGGGCAAAGCAGTTCATTCTGAGCTGCTACGTGGAAATATACTTAAAATGTGGGGAAAATGGTTGTCATCTATTTAGTGGTTAGATCATGTTGACTTGCAACAAATGATAAAATCTGTTTTCTTGTTTTTTAGTAACCATCACTGCTCTGTTCAGAACAAACTTCCGTATGGATTTCCCTTTTGACCTGCAGGAGCTGCCAGCATTTGCCATCATTGGGTGAGATGTTCAAGGGCAGACCTGAGATCATATTTATAATCATATTTAAGTAATAATAACAATAACGCTATGGCTGAAAATATTGTTTATTGGTTTGCAAGTTGTTTAACATCAGTGGAGTTGAACACTTCATGTGGAAGACTCTTAGCCTGCATCATTTGACTGTTAAAAAAATTAATTATATATACATATATTAAATCTATTGGCTTTTCTTATTTTATCTGGCCACATAATTTATCTTTGAACACTTTTTATTAATATTTGCTTCTCTACCGCTGTGTACTTGTGGTGCAGTCAGAACGTTTAATCAAATAAACGTTTGCAGTAAAGTGTTTCGCTCCTTTATTTTTGCAGGATCTCCTGTGGATTTCTGGGCGCGTTCTTTGTCTACCTGAACAGACAGGTGGTGCTGTTCATGAGACGACCAAACCCCATGACCCGCTTCCTGATGAAGCAGTGAGTCTGAAACTGCTACTCGTTGCAAATACATAAAAATCAAAACTAAAGCTAAATTAGATATTTATATTAGGACTCCAAGTTTTGAGTCATTAAAGCTTTATGTCTGATTTGTTCTTTCTGCTCTTACAGCCGGCTGGTCTTTCCCGCTGCAGTAACTTTGGTCATCGCCACCTTGACCTTTCCACCTGGGTTTGGACAGTTCATGGCCGGAGAGGTCAGAGTGCAAATTTATTACTCCATCTTGTCTCTTAAGGAAACACCAGAAATGTTTCCATCATCATTAAATAAACTTGCCGGTTCACTTAAGGGTTCTCTTAGAATTTTAATGGATTCTTCTTTTAGTAAAACACAGCTTTCATTTTGAATTTACTCAACAACAAATACCGTATTTTTCGGACTATAAGGCGCACTTAAAATCCTTAAATTTTCTCAAAAATCGACAGTGCGCCTTATGTATTAATTCTGGTTGTGCTTTACTGACCTCAAACTGATTTTATGTGGTACATGGCGCTCAAAAATCTGTCTAAATGAACTTGTTTCATTTAATGTGCCTAATAATACAGTGCGCCTTATAGTCTGAAAAATATGGTATGTAAAATTAATTCAGAAAGTGCGTCCTATAGGAAACAACAAAGTCCATGCTCAATAATCCAGGTATACAATCCAACAATTTTCAGTCAGGTCATCTGGACAGTTTCCTATAGACTTCCATGATTTTGAACATGCCGACCAGTTTAAGTGTAACCTTCTTTGCAAAGAACAAACTACACCTAGGTATTGAGATACTGTAAAGGCTACACCAATAAGATATTTTACAGTTTGTTTTTGTTTTTCTTTAATGTAAAGAGCGCAAACAACAGATAAATCTGAGCCTGCTTTGTGCATTTAGCTGTCTTTAAACACCCTTCCCTCCAGTCATCCTTTGCTGGATACTCAGCAGGAAATCATCCATTATGTCTGTGTTATTTACACAAACACTACTCCCAGTATGTAGTAGTTTAATGGGACACAGTAGAAGATTGTCTTTGTCATCTTACATCCACCATCGTTGTTTTCTCTTTCTGCACTTCAGAGCACCCACTCCACGCCTTGTTTCCTGTTTTGGGTGTATTTTCTTTGCAGCTTTACAGCGCCACATACAGGCCTGACATTGTTACTACAGTGTTTTTTTTTTTGTGGGTGTTTCCATGTGGACAAATGCATTTCTAGAAACTGTCATGTTTATAAGGAATTTGTTGTAGAACAAAAATGTATTTTTTTGAAAATACTGTTGTCATGTGGACAGGGTCTAAGAATGAAATAGTTTGTATGTGCTTGCTTAGTTAAAATATAAGTAAGATCTACGTACGTGAACATAATATTTTTTATGAAACAGTGTTAATTCAACCAAATGAGGGTGGTTTTATTGTTTTGGTTGTTTTGTGCAGAAGTAATCATCTTATGTGCACTTCTGGCCGTCTATTGAACATAATATCCATGTTTTGACATGGTTTATTACAGTACTTTTTATGCTACATTTCAAAAGGAGTTTGAAGATGAAATGTTAGTTAGCTAGATGTATCAGCTCCCAAACTCTGGGCTAACGGTTCATCATGTGGTTCACAGATGCTCAGAATAGACGACTCTGTGAGAATCAGGTGTGTCTGTTAGCATCCAGCTCTGTGCTCACTCAGACACTCAGAGCTGACAATGAGGTGATCTCTAAATTTAAATCATTTCACCTCATAAAGTCATGGAGCACATATAGCTTTTTATGATTTTTTTTTTTATCCATCTTGACAGGAAAGTGTAGAACAAAGGAGGAATTAAATGCTTTAAGAGTCATGAACCAGACTTGAACCCACAACTTCAAAAAGACCAAGACAGCTTATTACATAAAGTTCTGCAAAGCCCCGCAGCAGAGTTTCAACGAGTCCGTCTTCTGCAGCATTCCCACTCACATACCAAACAGCAGGCCTCGATTCAGCCCCAACTCAAAAGAGAGTGTAAAAATCGAAACGACATTGTTGTTTCTTCGCCCTGCTGAGGCATTATGCAGATGCAGCGGGCACTCTGATTTGTCCCTGTGAGCAACTTTTAGAGACATCTATGCAAATGTGCAGGAAAATAGTTGGTGAATTAGTCATTCATGAGTCACTGAAAGAGAATGAGTCACTGGACATGACCAGCCATACCCCACTGCTTCCAGCTCACTGGTTGACTTCTTGCCTCTTGATTACACTTCACCTCTTTTCATTCTTTCTTGTTCCCTTTTTGGTAAATAATCTTTTGTTAGTAATGCACAATACAGCCCAGTAATTAAAGGGAACTTATCTATGTGCCTGCTATGTGCCTGCTACATAATGCTATGTACTGGGAAAATACTTGGTACTTACAGGATATGTATTTGGGGATGTGGTAGCTTGATGGTCAGTGCCTCGGTCTTGTAATACTGAGGCTGCAGGTTTGTGCCCAGGTTTCATCAGGAAGTCATTTGTTGTTAAATCATTAGCCAATCATCCATGCAAGTTCTCTGCCTGAGGGAGCAGCTGAAAACAATGACAACAACATGTACTTGATAATAATAATGAGTACTTACGGTACTGTTAATGTGCGTGGCATTTAACAATTAAATACCTGGTATTTTAAATGGTACTTATCTGGAACGTTACCAGTAGGTAACTGGTACTTACAGGCTGTGTACCAGCTTCTTACAGGATGTACCAACTATACCTGTTGGATACTTAGTACTTACAGGTTATGTATGTACTTGATACTTAAGTAATTATGGGTACTTACTGTTAATGTGCCTGACATTTAACAGCTAAACCTGGTATTTACATGGTACTTATCTGGAATGTTACCAGTAGGTAACTGGTACTTACAGGTTATGTATGTACTTGATACTTAAGTAATTATGGGTACTTACTGTTAATGTGCCTGACATTTAACAGGTAAACCTAGTATTGTACATGGTACTTACATGGAATGTTACTAGTAAGTAACTGGTACTTACAGGCTGTGTACCAGGTTCTTATAGGATGTACTGAGTATACCTGTTGGTACCAACAGGGATCAAGCTGTATTCTGAAGTAACTTGTACTTTCAGGGTACTTAAAGGTATTTACCATGTAAGTGCATACTGTGCTGTATTGTGTTTTATGCACTTCTTTCTTTTAATTTTCCTTAAATTTCTGTCTGTATCCATAATTGTTACCTTCTCTCGTTTATATCAAACGATTTCTGTTCTTGTCGTAATCTTCCTTTAGATACCAAAAAAGTCCATGCTCAATAATCCAGGATTACAATCCAACAATTTTCAGTTAGGTCATCTGGACAGTTTCTTTTTTTTTGCTGACACGTTTCACCTTCCATCCAGAAGGCTTCATCAGTCAAGGAAACACACAACACAAAACTGATTCTTCCCCCAAACAGTTTACTCAAAAGTGGAACAAACCAGTTATGTTGGTGCTAAAAAAAAAGAAATAAAAGAAACTGTCCAGATGACCTGACTGAAAATTGTTGGATTGTATACCTGGATTATTGAGCATGGACTTTTTTGGTTCTGAACCAGTTTGACATGACTGGTGATGAGGAAGAGGGCCGGCACCACATGAGGGGGCGTGCCAAAGACACCATCTTAGCACCAACATAACTGGTTTGTTCCACTTTGGAGTCAACTGTTTGGGGGAAGAATCAGTTTTGTGTTGTGTGTTTCCTTGACTGATGAAGCCTTCTGGATAGAAGGTGAAACTGACTGAAAATTGTTGGCTTCCTTTAGATATCTCATCGTTCTCAGCTTTTTACAATTTGTGTCACCCTCTTTCTTTCGTCTTCCTTTGTAACTCACACCCCTATCTTTCCGTCGTTGTCATTTATTTTGTACACCCCTTTACTTCTACGTTTACTTTCATTGTTACACTTCTGATAACTTTCCTCTCCTCGCCCAATATTTATTTCTGTCAATCATCTCATCAGTCTCAGACTGATCCTTTTCTCTTGCTGAAATTTGTTCCCGTTCTTCATCTATTTCACTCCTCTGCTGTCTTTCTCCCTCTTCATCCCCCCCAGCTAATGCCCAGAGAATGCATCAACTCTTTGTTTGACAACTTCACATGGACGAAGATTTCAGGATCTCCCTCTCCGGTTGGTCTGGGCCGCTCCACCGCCTGGCTGCACCCTGATGTTAGTGTCTTCGTCATCCTGCTGCTCTTCTTCCTCATGAAGGTATGCAGCTGCTGAGAAAGTGAACATGTGGAAGTGTGGTAATGTGCGCTTGTTTTGCATCTGTCTTTGCACAGGTGTGAGACTGAGAATGCGTGTGAGGCTTGAAGGCAGCATTGTCGTCATCCTCCTCTTCATTAAGGGCGTTTGTTGCTGGTTGCTCAAGTTGTGTGTTGGTGGCGGGGACATCTGTGCATGTGTCTGTGTGTTGATTTGAATAAGTCTATTTTATTCTCATCCATGTTTACCATTACTGGCAGGCTGCCATCACTCAGCTTTATGGGTTTCTAAATGCACTCAAACTCAGATACACATAATTCTTGTGATATCTGCACAGATCTGTTTAAATGTGAACTGTGTGAAAAGTTGATTTAGCAAAAAGTTGAAGAAAAAATATGAAAACCTTGAATTACTGGGATTAAAGGTGATATTCTATTGTTTGTTTTAAATGGGTTTATAACTTGAGTATTTTTTTCTTTTATTTGACCTTTGTGAATCTGGTATTAGGATGCTGTTTATGTGATATGAAGTGAAAAGTTTTAAATGCATGTAAAGTTCTGATAAATTAAAAGCTTGAAGAGATCTGATCACTCAGTTTAGAGGGGGGTTGGGGTCCAACATGGTCACGATTTTATTTTTAATGGCGTGAAAATAAACATGAGCATCATTTGTAGCATCACTTTCTCAGTTTGGTTCGCACTGATGAACAATAACGCAACAAGAACTTAGTGTTCATCCATCCATTCATCTCATCTGGCAGTACACCAAGGTGTTCCCAAGGTGTTCTGTGGGACATGTCCAAAATATCTGTCCAAGAAAGACATCCAGAAGCCATTCTTACCAGATTCCTGAATGCTTTGATGTGGAAAAGCAACAACTCTTCTCTGATCTTCCTCTGAATAGCTCCTCCCTAAGGATGAGCCAAGCCACTATTTGGAAGAAGTTGAGTGAGTTCAGTTGCACCTATTTATTAATATTGCGTTAACCTTTATTTAACCAGGCAAATCCCACTGAGATCACAGATCTCTTCTGCAAGGGAGGCCTGGGCCTGAAGGCAGCCTAACATGCATGTTTTTGGTCTGTGGGAGGAAACCGGAGTACCTGGAGAAAACCCACTCATGCACGAGAAGAACATGCAAACTCCACACAGAAAGATCACTGGTCCAACCGGGGATTGAACCCAGGGTCTTCTTGCTGTGAGGCAACAGTGCTAACCACTGTTCCGCCGTGCTGCCGTCGTACCTACATCTGTGAACGGTGGTAGTCTAGGATAGTTTAATCCTGGAGGCTCCGAAAAGTTTGGTTTAGGGTGATCGGCTTAACTAATTGATTGAATGAAGCCTTTTGATAGAACAACTTTGTACTATAGGCACCTACTCTGGTGTCTCACCCTGGAGCCAGATCAGTCACAGGCTTTTTTTGTTGTTAGGCCTCATTTGGGTCAATAAGAGGTGGTATTGTTTTTCTAGTGATACATGAGTTTGCTCTAAGGCCTCCTTCCAGTGGAACATGTCCAAAACCCAGAAATATGTCCAGAGGGCATCCTCATCAGATGCTCCAACCATCTAACTTGTCCCCCTTTATTTTAAAGAGAAGTAGCCCTTCTTCAAGCTCCTCCTAAACTTCTGAGCTCTTCAACTTTAACCCTAGAGACTTTTTGGAAAAAAGAGAAGTCTATCTGGTTGTACTAACCACCATGAATCTCCACATTTTTGTGTTTGACGCCAGAAGTTATGTTGGTAGAAGCTCCCAAAGCAAACTGGTTTAGTACGATTCAATAGATCCTTGCAATAATACGGACAGTACCCAGAGACTATGCCTTGGACAACCGGGCAACAGTGAAAGCCTGAAACTTCGGCAGTGTGTCTGTGCATAAAAACACAAACTATTCCTCCTCTTTCTTTCATAAAATGGAAATTAGTTTTTCCTCAACTAAAGCTAAGCATCTGCATCTCTGCGATCTTTTTCTTAGTGTATTTTTCCTCATTATTCGTTGTAGCTATCTTCAAACATTTAGCTTTTTACGTCAGATTGGACTAAAGTTTTTAATTCTGCTGTTTCTTTTCTTCACACTGTGACATCAACACTGATTTTATTTGTTTCAGTCCCATCTGTCTGAGGATTTGTGACACTGATGAAAAAGTGTGAGCTGATTGTGATCGTGTATGTGACACCGCTTTTGTGAGATGTGTGTGTTTCTGCCAGACTGAATTGGACAGTCAGGATTAAATAGAGATGAAAACTGTGCACAATCCTCCCTGTCATCAGGACAGCAGCCCCGTGAGAGATGTGCTAACAACGTTTTGTGTTGTTTCACAGTAATTAAGTCCTCAAACGAGGATCACGTGTGGAAAAGCAGTCTAGAATGGCAACACGGTAATGTCATGTTTGGCAAAAAAAATATTTTCCAACAAAAGCAGAAGCACAGCAGGTGCTGGTGAAGTACAAGTGCTTCAGCTTGAACACAAAAATCCAGTGCTTCTCTGATGCTAATAATTATCTCTGATGAGCTCTCTCTGGCCAAGAGCAAAGCATATTATTAGAAAAGCTATTTAAAAGTAACATCCAGAGCTTGTTTTGAAACAGACTAATTTACATTTGAAAGGCGAGTTTAGCTTTAGTTTATCAGAAAGTTCATCTTTTTACTCGGTTGCATGTTTCCACCTTATACCTCGCCCTCATGATGACTTGCGTGAAATATGGGGGCGACTTCCGGCGCGGACCAGAACCGGCGTTTGTGTTTGTGCGAACAGTACGAGCAAATGTAGTTTCTCTGAGCATTATGGATTTAAGTCAAACATGTAGGAACACCACCTGTCAGAGCTTAAACAGGACAATATAATCATACCGCTGCCTGCTGAGGACGAGGGATGGAGGACGAGCTGAAGAAGTGGCTGCAGGTTACATCTACTAGCATATTTAGCTACATCTACTAGTATATTTAGCTACATCTACTAACATATTTAGCTACATCTACTAACATATTTAGCTACATCTACTAGCATAATTAGCTACATCTACTAGCACATTTAGCTACATCTACTAGCATATTTAGCTACATCTACTAGCATATTCAGCTACATCTTCTAACATATTTAGCTACATTTACTAGCATATTTAGCTACATCTATTA